TAATTGGCTGGTAGGAATATGGTGGTCAGGTTGCTACGATGTTGGGCTTGTAATGGAGGTGACCACTCTGTGGTGTCCCGGTGACTTAGGGTTGTGGTGGCTAGGAATGAAGAATGGCCCCTCTAGGTTTTTTTTTTTTTTTAATTTCGGCGATAAAAATGAATAAGATTTGTAAAAAAATTTAGTGTTTCTTAATCTAAAACTCTAATACTAAGTTAATAATAGTTTTGATGTGTATTACATTAAATGCTACAACCCTATATATACAGATTTTATAGAAGAGAAAAAGGAATTGATAATTAATTATTTTTTTGAAATAAAAGTGTGGAGTTGTATTGATGTAAGAGTGTCAAGGGGGCGTAATCCATTTATAATATATTTATAAGTTGATTAAACTATCGACAACAAAACTATAATCATCGAGACAGTCGATGTTATGTTCCAAAGTAATGGAACCAAAATAGTGAAACCAACAATCAATGATTTTGTTAAAATCAAGTTCTATTCCTTCAAAAGCGCGATTGTTTCTCTTTTTTCCCATGCTAGGAGTTCTGCATGTTTGTTGTTGTTCATGATCCAAGACAACCCGATAAGACTAATAATTGTGTTCCATAGGTTCTGTGGAATCGAACAGTCTAAAAGCAGGTGATTACAGGTTTCAAAATTGTTTTTACATAGGAAATATCCATTAGCAATTGTGAAATCTCTTGTCATTAGGTTGTCAAGGGTAAAAATGCAGTTTTTTGTGGCTTCCCAAGCAAAAAATGAGATTCTTGGAGTTGCACCCGATTTCTATATTACTTTGGAAGGGAAGCTAATGTTGTTCTAATTAAAATTGTCCGCCAAGTGGTTGTAGAGAGATCTGACAGTAAAGGTACCATTTTTGGAGAGTAGCAATTTTAGATTATCCTTTCTATCATAGATTTGAATTGAAGACAAAGTTTATATTAAGAATAAATATTCTTCTAACTCTCAGTCACCGTTGAACCATTTGCACAATATGATTTATTTTCATGGGCTGTTACCTTTGTTCGGAATCTCTAAATCCATTTCCCAATAAAGGACTTGTTAAGTGTAGTTATAGATCTCAAGCTCAAACCACTCTCGTAATACGTTTCTTGATTTCTTTCCAATTTACATGATAGATTTTCTATTGTTATATCATCATCTCCTCCGAGAAAGCTGCACTGAATGGATTTCAGAATATTCGCAACACAAGTTGGAATGTTGAACACCGAAAGGAGAAATAGGGAGATTAGATAGGGTGTTTTAATGAGTTAGTCATCCCCCCCTTTGATAAAAATTTCATCTTCCAATTGGCAAGTCGGTTTTGAAACATATCAGTGATAGGATTCCAGCATTTTTTGTATTTGTATTTGGCCCCAAGCCTGGGTACGTGATGAGTAATTGAGAAACTTTGCAACCCAAAATCTACGATAGGAATTCACCAGTTTGAAAACCCATCATCACCAATTTAGATTTGTGAAAATTGATTTTTATGTCAAAGACCACTTGGAAACATAATGAAATGTATTTCAAGAAAATCAATGAGCAGACGTCAAGATAGCAGAAAATGAAGGCGTCATTGCAGAAAATGAAGGTGTTAATTCAATCTGATTACCCCTGTGTTCCATAGAAATTCCTTGAAACAATTTAAGTTCTTTGGCCAATCAAGTAATTTGTTCAAAGCCTCCATAACAATAATGAAAAGGAGGGAGATAGTGGGTCACCTTGCCTTAAACCTCTCGAAGTGATGAAAAAGTTAGAAGGGCCTCCATTCACAATTACTACCAAGCAAGTAGTGGTGATGCATGTTCTAATCCAACCTCTCCATTTTGTATTGAAACCACATCTTTCTAGCATATAATCAATGAAGTCTCAACTTACATGATCAAAAGTTTTCTCAATATCAAGTTTACACAAAAGACCTTGTTTGTTCTTGATGACATCATTCACTATTTCATTAGCGATAAAAATAGCATCTGAAATTTGTTTAGCATAAACAAAAGCATTTTATGAGTCACCAACTATCTTGTGAAGAACTGTAAATAATTTTTTAGGCAGAATCTTTGAAAGTAATTTATAGATGCTCTAATGTTCTCCGGATTAATCTTCTTCGGGCTCATAACAAAAAAGTAGAATTGAGTGATCTTATAAAGGAACTATGACTATGAAAATCGTTAAAAAAACCCATGATGTCTTGCTTAATGACATCCCAAAAAGATTGAATGAATTTGAGATTGAAACCATCTAGCCCTGGAGCTTAATCACCATCACAATCCTGAAGGCAGTTATAAATTTCTGTCTCAGTGAATTTTATTTCCTGTTGATTTCGGTCACCATCATTAATATTATTAAAATAAAGATAATTAATTATAATGAGTTATAAAATGTGTAATTTACCTTTATATCCTTTAACCTAATTTACTTTCTCTTTTTAACATTTAATATCTTAAGCTTTCCTTATTTAGTTGAGACAAACACCTATATAAACTACAATAGTTGTGTTTAGAGATGATTATCTTGAGCCTAACAATTTATGTTCTTCGGTTCATTTTTCTCCTCCTCATTGTTCTAATATCTTTCCCTTCTCTTGTTATTTCTTCACCTTAATCCTGCCTTCTTGATGCAAAATAAAGAAAACCTGAAATGGACTATCTTAATTAGAGATAATATTCTTGTAAGTACTGTGATTATTTTGTACTTTATATTATTTAGGCTATCATATAGAATTTTCCTCCTATATGTGGGATTTTTGAACCAACCTAATTTAAACAGCTGCTTGTCTCCCCAGGCTAATAGTAGTAGACCTAGTTACGATTGTGCCATTGCTGGCACAATTTTCAGGAAAATATCACTGATATACAAAAAGAAGCATCATTTATCACAGGAAGGCATGATGTTTCTGAGGAAACCATGCCTTCCTGTGATGTAACTGTGGGTAATAAATGTGGGTATTCGGGATTAAATACCACGAATTTTAAGATTAATATTCATTTGAAGTTCTTATATCATATTGGTTTTCCTATGTGATTGGTTGACTACTTTCCAACCTTTGTTCTCTTGAGGCAATCCTAATATATAAATATATTGTTGTTAATGTGAAAGCTCATCTTTCAAAATATGGAAAGTTTAGGGTTGTGCAACCTTAACTTTTTTTTTTATGTTATATATTTGATTCAGGCTCTTGGTGACTTGGTAGAATCTTGTTTTGGAGCTATTCTTCTTGATTCTGGATTCAACTTGGATTATGCTTGGAGAAAGATGCTATCCTTTTTGGATCCAATCAGGAGCCTTCCCACCTTGCAGCTTAGTCCTATTAGAGAACTCCAAGAACTTTGCCAGTCTTATAACTGGAATCTCCAGTTCTTACCATCCAGGAGCAATGGAAAGCATTCTGTGGAAGCAAAAGTGACTATGAAGGATGCCGATATGATCATTTCTGCATGTAGTACTAGTAAAAAAGATGCTACCAGAATTGCTGCTCAACTAATATTTGAATCGCTGAAGGTAAAATTAGTGTGGCAAAAAAGTTTATTCAAAGATCTGCTGTTGCATAATTAGCATGCTTCTAAGATGCTCTTGATTTTGAATATTTTAATTGGGGTAGCTCCCATGTTAAGGAAGTTGGTTCAGCTACTCTAAAAAATTTATGAGCCTGCTCAAGCAGTTGAATGTCTAAGAGATGGCCTTCCACCTCGGTTCCCAATGCTCTTAGCTTGTATCCACACATCAAGAAGTTTGAAATGGTTATATTATTCCATAAACTAATTGAAGGCCTTAATTACAACATATTAGCACAGCCGAAGGATGTGTAGTTTCAATTTTGAGTTATTTACAAATTGCATTAATTGAGTATTCTGCAGTCCCAAATTAGTATCTTGTGTCAAGCTGATAATTAATGTAATGAATTCTTCTTCTCATGGATTTTGCAGACATTATGAAGACTTGTCTAAGTTTGTCAAGTATTTGTTAATTCAGTCTCTTTCTCTTGAAATATAGTGTAAACTGACCTTTTGATCTATCAAAATTTAACGTGCTTGTTAACAGAGAGCGTTCGATTTTCTCACATCCTGGCGGTAGTACCAACTTGCATCTTTCTACTCTGAATTTGAGCTTGCAGCTTAGTAGACATGCATGGAGCATCCATAATTTTTCATAACTATTTTACAGAAATCAATTACTTGCTTACTACCAGAATCTCTTTTCTGCTTGTTGATTTTATATGAAACTTCACACTTCATTTGATAATTATGCTGATGTTGAGTCTGGACTGAGTTGTTGATATGTAGGGTCAAGGCTATGTTGCAAAATCTAAATCACTGGAGGAGGTTTTTGAAATCTAGCACCAAGATGGAAGCCAAACTCATTGGATACAATGAAACGCCTGTTGATGTTGCCTCTTCTGTTCCGATTGAATGCAATTTAAACCCCAGCAATGATTCTGATGATGAAGTAACTGATCTTGATAAACTAATTGATCTCTCTTCACCAACGGAGAATACAGGTTCTGTTGCCTTTGGATTGGGAAGTCTGAAATTGGAAGACCATACTGACTGCAATTTGAACCCTGCAAATAATTCTGTTTGTAAAGCAACTTGTAGTTGTTCATCTACAGATCTTTCAGCTTCTGTTGCTGTTGAATTGGGAAATTTGGAATTGGAAAGCTGCTTTGACTGCAACTTGAAGCCTGAAAATGATCCGATTGATGAAGTAACTGATATTTGTTTATCTGGTGTTGTTACTCCTTCTGTTGCTTTTAAACTGGGGAGTTCAGAATTGGGAGACCATTTCAGCTGCGATTTGCTTGATTCTATTGAGAAAGCAACTGATATTTGTTCACTTACAGATGTTACAGCTTCTGTTCCCATTGAATTTAAAAGTTCAAAATTGGAAGACTGTTTTGATTGTGATACAAAACTGCAATCACCAATTAGCAAACGACATTCGTGTCCATCTGAAATGGGAATATCAACGGATGGTAGCTGTGAGACTCGCGGAGAGATAGCAGGTTGGTAGTTTTTGTCTTTCTTATTTTTGTAACAAGATTGGACTAGAACAACAATGATAGATCAGAATCCACCAATTGGGTAACTTAAAATAACACCAGCAACTTGCTGTATGATAAGTGGGAACACTATGGGTGGTTGTTCTAGTTATTACGTTGGCTGAATATCAGATGTAGCACTTTTTTCTGATATTTTGCAATTCAAATAACTTTTCAGGTGGATCAAACAAAGTGTCAGCCAAATCTTGTCTATATAAAGTCTGTATTGCTAATTGTTGGAAGCCCCCTAGATATGTTTGCTGCAAAGAGGAAGGAGAAGGCCACTTGAAACTGTAAGTCCAAAGATCTAGAGATGTGAAAATTCTCCTAATTCCAGAGATGCCTCTAAAACTTAGGGCCTGTTTAGTTGTATAAAAACTAAACAGGAAATTCCACCTAAGTTTCCAGAGCCTAAGTTTCAGAGGCATCTCTGGAGAGCCTAACTTCACCTTTACATCAATACGCATCCGTACTTTTATCACAAAAAAAAAGGTTTTAGAAAAATTATTTTATCAGATTCTGTGATAAATATGAAGATGCATTTAATAGAAATCTAGCACAAATGAGAGAGATTTTGAGAAAATCGGTGGAGAAGGTGAAGTGTGCTTGGGAAGCCAAATGAAAGGAAAGAGAGAATGCTCGATTTTGTAAATTGTGGAAACTGATAAGCTGTCGTTAATTGAGGATTAAAGGGGTATTTATACATGAGATTTAACTTATGGCTAATTACAAACTGACCCTCTATACCTGCTATTAGCAAGTAATTACACAGAACTTACTAATAAACATTTATCAGTATATTGATATATGCTTATACACAAAAATATTTGCAGTTGCTGGAAAAGAAATGAAATTCAGAAAATGATAATGAAACTATGGTATTAGGTTTAGAAAACGTTGGAAATAACGAATTCTACCAATCATTTTCCAAATCTTATTTTCACTTCAACAATCATACATGACTTTTTTAATAGATATATGTGAATTTGAAAGTAAAATTCAAAATAATTTTCAAAAACCAAATATTAGCATTCTAGACAAGTTATCTGTTAGTGGTATTTGGAGGAATTGCTATTAGGAATTAGGATCAGAAATAATTAGTCTCTTTCATTATTTCTCCTCTTTTCCTTTTCCACTTGTTTTTCCTTTCTTCTATTGATTGGCATTTTTTTTTTCTCATATTCATCATCCAAATTTTATGCAGATTTACTTTGAAGGTCATTGTGGAGATAGAAGAAACTCCAAATATGCTTTTGGAGTGCTTTGGGGAACCTAGGAACCGAAAGAAAGCTTCTGCCGAGGATGCAGCGGTAGGAGCACTTTGGTACTTACAACACGAAGGTTATCTGCTTGACAAAAATCAATCACAGATGCCGCCTTCGGTTAACAAGCATACATAAATCTCTCATTACAGAAATTCTTAGTAGATATCGTCGTTTGTTTGTGTTTTCAACTGGATTATAATAAAACCATCGAATCTTCTTTTCCATCGAGGAAAAATACAATTTACTTATTACAGCGAAGCAGAAGCTGGTAATTAAGCTCTAAGAAATAGGGGCCAGTCGAGAGACTAGCTTTTTGTACCCATTCCTAACATCTCCATTCTGGTAATATTATGTGTAAGTGGTAATTACATCTGAGTATTGATTGCTAAGTTAATGCTAAATGTAAAAGGCAAGATATTCACAGTAATTTTTTATACGTTTATATGTTAAATGCCAATTTAGCAGAATGGTGAATGGTCTTCTGGGTTATAATAAATTCCAACAGAAATACTCCATTAGAATTTAAACTCTTCATTTCATGCAAATCAATCAAAGGATTTGTATTATAGTTTCATCATTATGAACAAAATTAACTTATGAATCAATTACGATAGTTTAAAATATATTTACATGTGCTTTTAATAATAGCTGAGGCATTATTCGACTACTGGATCAGAAAATTGAAATGCAATGTATAAAATATTTAATTTATTTCTGTAAGTAAATTTGATTATGGAAATTGAATTTAGTAATTTAAAAACTGAAGCTATTTATATATATATATATATAATGTATTTAAGCTGATTAAATTTGTATTGTTAGTTCACTTAACTGGTTTATTCGAAAGGGAGAGTCAAATCGGAGAGGGAAAGGAAGTTTGAAGATGATCGGACGATGAGAGGCGTAATGGATTAATCCCACTCTGCACTCGCCAGTAGAGAAGTTGCTCCCATAACACACGTGCTCTATTCTTCTCACGTGCCTCACTAGTCATTTCCCGCCAAATCTTCCCTCCAAAAACCCTTCCCCTTCCGCCCCGTCTCAGTTTTCTCTCCAATTTAGTCCGCCTACACAGACAGAGAGAGAGAGAGAGAGAGAGGAAGAAATATTGTGGGGTTAGAGATCGAGAGAGAGAGAGAGAGAGAGGGAGAATGTCGGGGTGGGATGAAGGAGCGGTATACTACAGCGACCAGGCGCAGTTCCCGGAGGATGCAGGTGCAGAGAACGCGGCAGTAAGCCGACACTCTATCCTGACGAAATTCAAGGAGTTCGTCAGAAATTTCGAGACGGAGAAGAACAGTTTTCCTTACAGAGAGAGCCTCCTCAACAACCCCAAGAGGCTTCTCGTCCACCTCGAAGATCTCCTCTCCTTCGACTCCGATCTTCCCTCCTTGCTCCGTTCCTCCCCTGCCGATTACCTTCCCCTGGTACATCTAGCTCTCTGTGAATCGCCTAAAAAGTTGCAGTTATTTCGCACATTTGAAGTGCTTCGCGTTTACTCCAAGTCTATCGGTTTATGACCCTACGTTGTAAAGGATATATATATATATATATATATATTGGAATATTTGCTTGATCATTGAATGGTTTTTGTATTGTAGTTTGAAACGGCTGCTGCGGAGGTTCTGGCCAGTTTAAAGATGAAAGTGGCGGGAGAGACTGGAGAGATGGTGGAGCCTCAGACTGGAGATGTGCAGATTTTGCTTACTTCCAATGAGGATCCGGTGTCCATTCGCTCACTTGGGGTATTTTTTTTTTTTTTTTTTTTTTGCTTCCTTTCCGTTTGATTGAAGAGAATTGCATGAACATGGGAAAGAGAAATTACAATATGTTAATTGAAATTTTTCTTTTTCCGTTTGGACCTTTTATATTTCAGAGTAAAACGGGCTTTTAAGACTTCTAAAATTCACTACTTTTTTCTTCCCTTACGGACTAACATACTATCAGGAAAAGAGAGGTATCTATTTTAAAGGATCAGTTCTTTTTATTTTCTCCATTTGATGTTGATGAGCAGGCTCAATATATATCAAAGCTGGTTAAGATTGCTGGAATTAGCATTGCTGCTTCAAGAGTAAAGGCAAAGGCAACCTACGTGTCTTTAATTTGTAAGAACTGTAAGAATATTAAGGAGGTCCCATGCCGCCCAGGCCTTGGTGGGGCAATTGTCCCTCGCTCGTGTGATCATATTCCCCAGGTTTACTTTATATCTTTTGTTGGTTCCCCACATTTCTCAAGCTTTTGTTTAACCTTAATAAGATTGATGATATCTTCAGCCTGGTGAAGAGTCTTGTCCTATTGATCCTTGGATTGTTGTTCCCGATAGAAGCCAGTATGTTGATCAACAAACCCTGAAACTGCAGGAGAATCCTGAGGTAATGACATGGATGTCAATAAATTAAAAGTTGATTTAACTTATAGACTTATTCTGATATATGGGTGTATCATGGGTTTTTCAAGGATGTTCCAACAGGAGAGCTTCCTAGAAACATGCTTCTGTCAGTGGATCGTCATCTTGTGCAAACGATTGTACCTGGAACAAGATTGACAATCATGGGAATTTATAGTATATTCCAAGCTGCAAATTCATCTGCCTCGTAAGGATCATTATCAATTGAGACATGTGCAGTTCCACATGATTTAAAACCATTTTTCTTTGTTGTTAAGTGGGATTCCTTGATGTTATGTAGGCACAAGGGAGCAGTGGCAATTAGACAGCCTTATATCAGGGTTATAGGAATGGAAGAAGCAAACGAGGCAAGTTCACGCGGTCCTGCTACCTTCACACCTGAAGAGGTTAGTGTAAGAATTCTGGGGAATTCTGTTTAATTAAAATAATAATCCAACTTACTACATTTTAGTAAATCCATTGTGCATTACATTAGATGGTCAATAATACTTGCACTGTTTTTTGATACATTTGTATACATTCAATTTGTGAGTATCCGGTTTGAATTAACAAAATGTAGCCCTCATTGTTGACTGACTTCTAAGGAAAAAAAAGAATGTGCTGTTTAATCTAGGATCTTCTTGTGGAATTCAACTCAAGCTAGCCAAAAGCCAAACAACGAGCCAGTTGATTCATGGTCTAGTTATGAGATAGTGTTTTTGAAGGACTAGGACAGCAAGCTGAATTGCTTTGCATTTGGCGCCTTGGCTAGCTGTTTTTCTTTTTTTCCCTATCAATTGTGAAAACAAATCCATTTGCTGCTAGTAATACTATTTCTGATTATATTTTCTTTTACTGTTGACACCTGAGAACTTCTGCTACATTGTCCATTTTTTCATACCTTCACGGTTCTTTAAAGGTAGAAGAATTCAAAAAATTTGCCTCCAGCCAAGATGTCTACAAAACCATTTGCTCCAAGATTGCCTCTTCTATATTCGGTCATGATGATGTCAAGAGGGCTGTGGCTTGTCTTTTGTTTGGGGGATCGAGGAAGGTATATCCTGTTTTCATTTTTTTGTGATCACATATTTGCAGCTGTAGTATCTAATACCTCTATAAATGCAGAATTTGCCAGATGGGGTGAAGTTAAGAGGTGATATCAACGTGTTGCTTCTGGGGGATCCATCTACTGCCAAGTCACAGGTTAGTTATTTATTCTTCGAAGGCTCTTGAATGGTCATTGTGGCTTACTGTCATTTCATTTCTAATTAGTTGGTCTCTTTACTCTTAAGTAGCCTTAACCATTTCCTTGTGACATTAAAATTTTAACTTTAGTTTGAGCATATTATCATCATGGACATGCATTAAGTGCTGGTCTGGTAATTATTTTCTGCAGTTTCTCAAATTTGTTGAGAAGACAGCTCCTGTAGCCGTTTATACTTCTGGAAAGGGCTCGTCAGCAGCTGGTCTTACGGCTTCTGTAATTCGAGATAGCAGCTCTGTATGTTCTCTATCTTTATTGGCTCCTTTTATTATTCCCTTGTTATTTCCTATCTCTATAATATTCCTGTTGGTGCAAAACTTTTCTTATTCTATTTCACTTGTAAATGTATTCAGCGTGAATTTTATCTTGAAGGAGGAGCCATGGTTTTGGCAGATAGAGGTGTTGTCTGCATTGATGAGTTTGACAAAATGAGACCAGAGGATAGGTAGGTTGTGCCAACATCGTCTCTGATAACTCTTTCATCTTGCATATTATGTTTATGAGCCTAAACAATTTCCATTGGCATATCCTAGGGTTGCTATTCATGAAGCTATGGAACAGCAGACAATATCTATTGCCAAAGCAGGAATAACAACTGTTCTTAATTCTAGGACCTCAGTGCTTGCAGCTGCTAATCCTCCCTCTGGGCGATATGATGACCTTAAGGTTCTTAGATGTGATTTGCACTATCTTTGCAAATTATGCATGCTTGCAACTTTCTAACAACTGATATTGTTCCTCTTTCAGACTGCACAAGACAACATTGATTTGCAGACAACAATTCTTTCTAGATTTGACTTAATCTTTATTGTAAAGGATATCAGGAAGTATGACCAAGATAAGGTAACCTACACTTGTTCGCTTGTTTTTTTTTTTTTTTTTTTTTTGTTTCCCCAAAAGATAATACATGTTGGTGCTGTGAGGATATAATTACTTTCCATTGATTTCAGGACTCAAATGCATGTCCTTCAGAAAAATTACTAGTCAATCATGAGAATTGCTTTTCTCTGATATGCTAATTTTATTACCAGACAAAAAATAAAACAGAGAACAGAAAGAAGAAATTACATAATGTAATTCCACTTGCTAATTAGCTCCATGCAGAAGCCTGAAACGAAATTTTTTCTTAAAGGATATAGCTAGCCATATAATAAAAGTCCATGCATCTGCTGACGCAGCCAAAGGCGATAACAAAGGTTCTAAAGAACAGAATTGGCTCAAGAGGTATCCTTAGTTACAGATATCAAATATTGCCTTGTATTTCATCATACCATCTCTATTGAACTGTATTGATGAGATGCTAATATGTATTCCCTATGACCTTAGGTACATACAGTACTGTCGAACTGAATGCCATCCCCGTCTGTCAGAATCTGCAGCTGTAAAATTACAGCAGTTATATGTCAAAATCAGAGAGGTACTCTTTAGTACTAGCTCATATCATGAAAGATGCTTGTCAGTTCATGAAATAAACTTGCATATTATAGCGGCGTAAGACATTCAGTGACCATGGAACTATTAAGAGAATTATCTGAAATTTGCATAAACAACATGAAATTCCAGAAGTAGTGTTTTGCCCAGAGCATGTTGTCAGATGGCATACTGCTCCATTTGTGAGCTTAACTTCTGAGTTCGACCCCTTTTCATGAAGAAAAAAAAATGATTCAGTATTACATATGAATTGATGAATACCATTTAGCAAAGGGATGAAAAACTGTTCTTGTTTGTGCCTTCTGCCATCCCCACATTTTTGGTGTTTCTTTTATCTACAATTCCATTTTGATTTTTGAGTCAGTTGATTGTAACTATACAGTTCATGATCGGGTGGGAAATTGAGTTGAGAAATTTTTCTATAAGTCGGAAAACTTTGATGATAGACCTCAGATATGTTTATTAGCACTGAAAT